CAAAAGAAAACCAGCATGTGCTTTATAGACTATAGCAAAGCCTTTGACTGCATAGATCAGGGGTAGGCAACCTTTCCCCTTTAAGGGCCGAGGGACTTCAGCTCCCAGAATCCCAGGAGCTATTGGCCAACATGGGACAATTGGCCAACATGGCTGAGGCTTCTGGGAGCTGAAGTCCCTTGGCCCTTAAAGGGGAAAGGTTGCCTACCCCTGGCATAGATCATGAAAGGCTATGGAATGCCCTTAAAGACATGGGAGTGCCAACACATCTGATAGTTCTGATGAGGAATCTATACTCAGGACAAGAGGCTATTGTCAGAACAGAACATGGAGAAACAGAATGGTTCCCAACTAGCAAAGGGGTTCAGACAAGGCTGCATCCTTTCATCCTATCTGTTCAATTTGTATGCAGAACATATTATACAAAAAGCAGGCTTGGACACAGAAGAAGGAGGAGTGAAAATAAGAGGAAGGAATGCCAAGAATTTAAGATATGCAGATGACACCATAGTACTAGCAGAAAATCTCATGGACCTGGAACACCTACTAAGGAAGATCAAATAAAAAAATGCTAAAGCAAGATTAATGCTGAACATAAAGAAAACAAAAAATAATAATCACCAAGGACGTTCACAAGTTCAACCTAGACAGTGAAGAAATAGAAATAGTAAAAGGATTCCCATACCTGGGATCAAACATTGATAGAAATGGGGGCTGTAGTCCGGAAATCAGAAGACTAAGAATGGGGAGGGTGGATATAAAAGAACTAGAAAAGATTCTAAAATGCAAAGATATACAACTCAGCACAAATGTTAGAATCATAGGCCCTAAGCAGACGACTAAAAAAGTCGTCTTCCGGGCAGGGAAGAGGAGGGGCAGCCGCACGAGCGGCGCCCCTTCCTCTCCCCGAGGTCGCCCCCAGAAGCGCCGGCCGTCCGCACGGCCGGCGCACCGGGGATGACCTCACGGCGCAGCGCCCACATGCGCTGCACCGTTTGAGTCAGGGAAAGTGCGCCCACCGCTTTTAGGGCGCACTTTCCCTGAAATCTAAAAGGAGCGCCAATTTGGTGCTCCTTTTAGATGTGCCGCAGGGGCGCTGCGGTGCAGAGCCTCCGCTCCGCCAGCGCCCCGACCCGCGGCGACTGGGAAGCAGTCGTCTGCTTCCCCCCTTAGAAGCCATTGAATTCCCTATTACCATGTATGGATGTGAGAGCAGGACAGTTAAGAAAGATGATAGGAAGAAAATCAATTCATTTGAGATGTGCTAGAGAGGAGTGTTGAGGACCCCATGGACAGCAAAAAGGACAAACAAGTGGGTCCTAGAGCAGATCAAACCAGAAACCTCCTTGGGAGTCAAGATGACCAAACTGAGACCAAGATGACCATACTTTGGACACATCATGAGAAGAGAGGACTTTTTGGAAAAAAACAATAATGCTGGGGAAGGTGGAGAGAAGTAGGAAGAGAGGAAAGCCATGTGCTAGATGGATGGACTCTATTAAGGAGGTCACGGGTATTAAAGGGTTGCAGGAATTAAGCAGAGCAGTGGAGGACAGAGGGTCTTGGAAATGTCTCATCCATAGGGCCGCCATGAGTTGAGATTGACTCAAGGGCAGTTAACAACAAACAACAAAAAGGTTGTATCTCTCTTATCCAAAATGCTTGGAATCTTAAGTGTTTTGGATTTTAATTTTCAGATTTTGGAAAGTTTGCATATACATAATCATATATCTTGGAGATGAGACCCAAGTCTAAAATAAAATTCATTTATGTTTCATATACACCTTATATACATATCCTAAAGGTAATTTCATACACAATATTTTAAATAATTTTGTGTATAAAACAATGTTTGTGTACATTGAACCATCAGAAATCAAGGTGTCAATATCTCAACTACCCATCTGGACAATTCTGGATTCTGGAGTACTATATTTTGGATTTTGGAATTTTGAATAAGAGAGACTCAATCTTGTAAAAAGTTAGTGTTAAAATATTATAACTACAATGCCAATATTGTCCTTGAAACTATAATGGTAACCAGTTATTTTGAAAAGTAACTTTCCAGGATTTGGTTCCAGGCTATATTATTCATTGTTCCTGGGGACCTCTTGCAGTATTTGTATATGGAGTCAGCTGAAATGCTTGTGTTCAGGCCTCTCGGACAGCTTTCGCTTAAGTACATGCTTTAGATATTCTTAGTGGCTTCACATTGCAAATGAAAATATTTGGTCACATTGATTAACTGTGAGCTCCAAGTTAGCAACACCAGGTATAAAAGGCCTTTTAAAAAACGGAAAGTGTATCCCTGTGTGGGTGGACTGCTGATGGAGTCCAGATGGAAATGTGACTCTTAAGGTCAAGTTAGTTTTGACCTGGGCTCCTCTTTTGAAAGACCTGTTTCCAACCATCAACACTATACATCTCGCACCAGACTGCCATGACATCAAAGAAAGGGTTGAATTCTCAATGTAATGTCCTTAGGAAGGAACACCTAGAATTCACTTCCTTGCAATGTTTTGGTCTGAGACTCAAAATGGCATTGGTTTTCGGGAACTCCATTCCCTTTGCAGGAAATGGACTCTCCTTTTTCATTTTAAATGCTCCCACTCCTGCTATTAATTGATTGATTTTTGTTTTACTTGACTTGACAGAGGGAGGTTGATCAGACTTGCACAGCCTGGTTCTTGCTGACTGGAATGGGCTGTAGACACTTGCTTGTTCTTGCTGCTTGTCGCATAAATTATATCAAAATGCATTGTAAATCTTGCTTGTCCTAGAAGGGAATTCTTGGAAAGAAAGAAAGAAAGAAAGAAAGAAAGAAAGAAAGAAAGAAAGAAAGAATACACTGAGCTCACACTTTAATCAAGGAAAAGGGTTTATTTTGCTGGGAGCAATTAAAATAAAGGCCACATTTTAAAAGAAATGTATCTTTTTAAAGTTCATTAACCATGGATATAACAAATTATAAAATATTCTCATTGGAAAGTGTGTACACTAAATAGCAGAGTTAGAGAACGAAAAGATATCTGGGGAATTTTTTTCCTGGTGCCTCCAGAGGCCACACAGACTGCCAAGAATTCCTCTTTAATCCCCTCCAAACCTGGGAGTGGCCTGAAGTCCACTTGATGGGGGGGGGGGGTCAGGTATTTTTATAAGTTAAACAGTGCACCCCTCTTTGCAACCTATTTAGAAGATTGCTACTCCTGAAGAGCAGAGTGGCAATTCATTTTCTTTTTGGCCCAAACAATAACAATAGGGAGAGGGGGACTGGGCTTAACAAAAATAGCTTTAGTGGAACATCTGATTCAAAGGGTGCAGTTTGCCCATCCCTGTTGTACACCATGAGAGCATGGCAGAAAATCCCACTCTAACCTACACAACAATACTTGGAGGAATATATAAATCATAATATAATTTCATTTGTGGAGGGGTTTCTTTGTTTCTTCAAGAATGATATTTTTTTCATTTGAGAACAGCTGGAGGAGGTCTAGATAAGATAAAGAGCAGAACTAGGAAAGAGCTGAAGACATTTTCAATATAGCATTTTTTTTTTTAGTAGGAGTTCTCATATAGTTAAATATCCCATATCTTGGGCCATTCCCAATATTGGCTGTGAAAAGCTCATCCTTTTAGCTACCATGCCAGGAGTCCTTTCACATTACATTGCTATATGATCTGATTCCACCTTAACTGCCATGGTTCTATTCTGTTCAATTCTAGGGTTTGTACTTTGGGAAGGCACTAGAGCTCTCTGGAAGAAGATTTGAAATCCCTAGTAGTAGTAGTAGTAGCAGCAGCAACAGCAGCAGTAGTAGTATATTTATTTCTATCCCACTTGTCTCCCAAGACTGGGACCCAAAGTGGCTTACAATCTAAAAAACAAAACAAAATCAGTACAATTAAAAATCTACAAAACTGACAATTAAAATGGTATTAAACTATTACAATATTAAAAATATAATTCATTTAAAAACAGAATACAGTTTTTAATAATAATAATAATAATAATAATAATAATAATAATAAT